TAGCGCTTAGCACCTTGGGCCGGGCGATCGCTTCAGGAGAAGAGGCGATTGGGTTTGGTTTGAATTAGTAAAAGCGGGCTATCAGATACAAACCTGACTCCAACTTAAACCCAAAACAACTCTAACTTGACCCAAAGCAAATAATTAGGGCTTCATTCACTTCGTTCTCTCCCCCTTTCTCTTTGTGTTCGGTGTTCTCCCTGCGGTGGCGAGCAGAAAATGGTGGGCAGCTGGTGGGCGAGCAGAAAACAGCGAGCAATGAACGAAAATTGGAACTGAGGTATTTTCTTCCTCTCTTTCTTTTCTTGTTTATTATTGTTTGCCTTTTTCTTTTCCTTCTCTCCTTGGTTTTCCGCTTTTTTTTCTCTTTTTTTCTCTTGAGTTAGATCTGGTTTCTCTGTCCTCTATGCTTGCTGCTGCTCCCGTTCCTTTTTTTTTCTTTTTCTCACTTGAACTATTAACTGCAGCTGCTCCCTTTTCTTTCTTTTCCCCCCTTCTTCTCACTTGATCTGTAAAGTGTAAACTAATAACTGTTAAGATGCTATTGGGTGTTTAACTATAAAGCAATGTGTTTGAATGTTTTAGTGTTAATGATTTGAAGTAGTAAGCCAGTAAACTGATTTTTAATTAATGATAGGTAATTATTAAAGTTTGGTTTGTGGACAGCTTTTAATTAATAATAGGCTAATTATTATAGTTTGTTCAGACTTTGTGTTGAGTCGGTTGACTGTTAAGATGGTTGATCACTTGATTGTTTGATGTGCAATCTTTCTCAGACTTTGTGTTGAGTCGGTTGACTGTTAAGATGGTTGATCACTTGATTGTTTGATGTGCAATCTTTCTCAATTAATTATTTCTACTTTCTAGTGGTTAAGATGGTTGATCACTTGATTGTTTGATGTGCAATCTTTCTCAATTAATTATTTCTACTTTCTAGTGACTAATAAATGTACATAATCATGATATTATGAGCTAATTGCTTCTTTTTATTAATACATAATTACATAGGACTGTTGAAATGTGAAGACTTCTTGTTTTGTTCAAGGCTTCAAGCTTGTTGCTCTTGTGCTAGGATTGGTTATTGCTATTCGACGCTAGATGCTACTACTTGATTCTTCACTTGTAACCTGTAAAGAGAGAAATAAAATTTAGCAATGTAATTGTTAATGGTGCAATATACTACAGTAGTATGAAAAACTTGCATGATTGCATGAAATTTCACAAATATATATATTTTTCATGCATGTTTGTATATCTTGAAAAATTATGTGTCTGGAGTGCGCCTTGCTCGGGTGTGCGCATCACATTGCGTCTTGCGCATATGTACGTAAACTAATTTTGCACCCTGCATTGCGCCTCACGCATTGAAAACACCGGGCTATGAAGCACGGACACGCATAACACGTACAAATTCTGCCATGGCTCCTCTCAAGTTCATTATTTATATTTAAAATTTATTTTTTTACTGTTTATGTCACTTTTTTTATCTATAGATCTCTTTCCTGTAGCTCTACTCAAAGTCTCAAACTCATTATTCTTGAAACATTATTTGAATTATAGGATCATATATGACCAGGTAAACCAACTTTAAGAATTCATAATAAAATAAAACAGAGTGTAATGTTTTTGCTTGGCCAATAATATATCATTTTCTGTCTACATTGAAATAATGAACTATGTTGTCAATCTAACATTTTTTATTGACTTTAGTCCTTTTTAAACTTGTATGCTCATCCCTGTCTATACCAGTGTTACACAAGGTGCTAGGTGGACTAGGCGTTTCAGTCAACGCCTAGCACCTAGACGCCTAGGCGTATGCCTAGGTGTTTGGCTATTTTTAAATTATCTAATTATAATAATTGACAAAAAATATATATTAAATTCATATTAAATTGCAAAAAGTATAAATAGCAATCATAGAGCCACAATAAACAATTAAATACTAAATATCAAGATAGTAACTAAATGTTACAGAAAACGTTACATGGCCTAGACACCTGACACCTAAAGCCTAGGCGGTTTACTTATTTTTTTTTATTTTTTAATTGTAATAATTGATAGTAAATGTTCATGTTATAGAAAGCGTGGGTGCTGAACTGGTGTCTAGGTGGATTTCTTTTTTTATTTAAGTGGTGATCAAGGAGATTTTGCTGAAGGTCAGAGGAAGTAGTGAGGATGTTCATATTTGGAGGTTAGAGGAGTTTGGAGAAGGTTGGAGGACGTGGAGGCTGCAATGCTGAAAATTACAATCAAGACCTAAAGGGTGTAATCAATGTAAGCAGACAACGGTCCCCTGAGCACTCTCAAAACCTAGATGGGTAGCCTAGGTACCGCCTAGGCGCTAGGCAAAAGGCCTAGGTACCGCCTAGGTCTAGGCGTACGCCTAGCTGGACTAGGCAAAGGCTTTTTAAAATAGCGGTCTATACTAATATTTGAAATTCAGAATAAACTCAGAATGATTAGTTTCACAGTGAAATCAGAATTATTAGGTGGTATCCAAAAGAAACTCCCTTTTCAAATCATAGTTGTAAAACATTTTAAGATTTAGACGACTAGTATATTTCAAGTTACCTATTTTGTCCAATAGTAACAATTCCTCCAGCGATAATGTAGAGTACAAAAATGAGGCAAATCTCGATATTAAATTCCTTACATAAGCTTGCGAGATGATTAAAGTTATCATATGTAGATTCACTTTTTTTATCAATTGAAATTGACATGGGAGATTTTTGATTATGTTGCTAAACAACTTATCTAGGTCACCCGGACACTTCATCTTGGCTCCCGTGTCCGTGTCGGACACTCCTCAGAAACGGCTTGAGTATATACATATATTTATGCAGACATGTACCTAATTATACAATACATGCTTTAGTTTAAAACACGTGGTGCACTTATTGGACGTATATCTTACATTTCACATCAAATTTCTACAACTTGTTAGACTTGGATCAGGTTCATTTCAACCTATATATATATTATTATTTTCAATAGGTATATATATTAGTGTCCCTGTATCCTACATTTGATAAATTTGCCGTGTCCCGTATCCGCACCCGTGTTCGCACCCGTACCCCTACCAGTACCCGTGCAACATAGTTGCTTATTTAGTGTGCTATTTCTAGAATTTTGAGTTTCACAGAGAACTCTTCACTTTATTTCAAAAATGTGGATATGCCCCTTGTACTATGTTGATAAACCACTTATACCACAAATTTTTTTCTTAGCACTTACAACTAGGGGTGCTAAACCGTATCCGTATCCGAGGAAATATTCATAACTGTATCCGTTAGGATACGAATATGGTTACTCAAATCTATAACCGATTGGATACGGTTATGGATATGGTTTTGTAGTGAAATATCGGTATCCGTATCCGAAATATCCGAATACATATTAGTCATACTCTTACGATAGTTTCAATTCTTAGATTATGAAATATCCGAATACATATTAGTCATACTCTTACGATAGTTTCAATTCTTAGATTATGGATTTGTGGTTAATTTTGATGATAGTTTCAATTCTTAGATTATGGATTTGTGGTTAATTTTGATGATCAAGATGTCTAATCTTAACTTTTTAGTTATGATGAACATATTAACGAACTCTTTTGTATAGCATGAACTATATTTTTCTCAGTACTATCTAGTTTTCTCATATTCATTTTGTATCCGCATGCATAATCGCTTATATATCCGCATTTATATCCGTAACTGTATACGGTTTTAGCGGATATGTATATGAATTTTTCTTACCGAGTTATATTTGTATCCGTATCCGAGATGGGTAAGCGGATATGGATATGATAAGCATCATATCTGAGCCGTATCCGGACCGAATGCACCACTACTTACAACCCATGAATCTTAGATGATATCACTTTTTTGTCTTAACTTACTGTCAATATAGTCTTCTTTGTTTATAGTTAAACTGAGAACAAAATGTAAATTATCATCATGTGGTTCTAACGTGACATCTCAACTAACTTGGAAGTTGGAAGAGGTTCTTGTCTGGACTTCAGGGGCGGAAGTGCTTATAAAATAGTTTTAGAGTATCTGCAATTAGCCCTTTTTTTACTGTTTAAACATAATTGCTACTGAAAGTAATGGGATCGGCTGAATTTCATTCTTCCCTTATCGTCTAAAGCATGATCCTTCTATGAAAATACAGGGTGGGGAAGCCTGCTCGATATGGACCAACGAAGGAACAATGCACTCTCTCGCAGGGAAAAGCACCCTCAGATGCCTCTCTCGCATGCTCAATGAGGGCATCCATGCTGACGTCACCATCAACACTCCGGGTGGGACCCTTAAAGCCCACAAGGCCATCCTCTCCGGAAGCTCCCCGGTCTTCGAGAGCATGTTTCTCCATGATCTCAAAGAGAAAGAGTCCTCAACCATCACCATCGAGGACATGTCCACAGATGCTTGCTCTGCTCTCCTAGGTTACATTTATGGCAACATAAAGCATGATGATTTCTGGAAGCACCGCCTCGCTTTGCTTGGCGCAGCGAATAAGTATGATATCACCGATCTCAAGAGTTGCTGTGAGGAGAGTCTCTTGGAGGATATTAGTTCGGGGAATGTTCTTGAGAGACTTCAGGAGGCGTGGCTGTATCAGTTGCCTAAGCTGAAGAAAGGTTGTTTGACGTATTTGTTTGATTTCGGCAAGATTTATGACATAAGAGAGGATATCAGTAGCTTTTTTCGTCATGCCGATAGGGAGTTGATGGTGGAGATGTTTCAAGAGGTGCTCACTGTTTGGAAGTCTCTTTGATAAAATCTGAGAAGGTTAATCTTAAGAGATCCTAGGCATTATATGCTCGGGCTTTTATCTGTATACTGAGGGTATGTAGTGTGTTGGGCTTTCACAGTACCTGTAAATATTGAAAGTCTGTAGTTTGATGTTTTATGTACTCTTATGGAACATTAGGCAATCACAAGAAAGTAGCTTTCTTGTGGTTGGGATGACACTTTAATATGGAGCTAATTGTCATTAATGCATTCTATCTCAAAGTTAATTGTATATCTTATCTCGAAATTATATGCTTATTCTGCTGCTAATTCTAAAGCATCTGGTTACTTTGTGGGGGTAAAAAGGCATTGCCATTGGTTCTATGGTCATTGGTCTTCAGGGATATCATGTCCTTGTTTATTGGTAGAATCTGCTTTGTACTATGCTGTCAATATTAGATGCTTTGTTCTATGCTTATATTTTTGATCTTACATGATTTGCTGAAGAACAAATTTTTGTTTTAAACCCATTTCAACTTTTTTTTATTGAAATCGACCCGCTTCTCGGCCACGTTGCTGACGTGGCTGAGAAGTGGGTCGATTCCGCTAAATAAAAAGGGAGTCGGTCGGTTTGTAAAATAAAAAGGTGGAATGGGTTTAAATCAAAAAATTCTTCTTTGCTGAATGAATATATGGTGATGCTGAATGATTTAAATAATTTGAAGACTTAATTGCAATTAAATGCCCTATAGTTCCAACTTCGTTGCGCGCTTCAACTTTGTTGCGTCTATATGCACTTGCTCGTTTGTGACAGCCCTTATATGCCCTAAAGTTTCTAAAGCTATTTATGACCACAATTATACCTTAAAGTTTTTAAAACTTACAGTAAAATATTCTAAAGTGTATAAACACTTGCATTTAAATACCCTCAAGTTTGCATAATTGAGGGTATTAAGTGCAAATTTAAAAACTTAGGTGTATTTTAGTGCAATTTTAAAAAATTTTATGGTATACAAGTGTTGCCAAAGCAAGTGAGTATATATAAGTGAAGGCTTTTGAAAACATTTAGCTAAGAGAGAAACAACCCCTAGGAAAGTGGAACCCACAATTTCCTAATGAGAGAAGGTTGTCTTCATCCAATAAAATGGGAACCGCAAATCCACAAATCCTTGGATCTTATGAAATTGACAACTATTGATAAAATAAAAATATTTGTTCGCACTTATTGAGTTTTTTATTCTAGCAAGGACTACTTATATGTTATATATATCGTGTTACATTTCCCCGTTAATCGCTATCTGCTCCTATTTTTCTTTATTAGTAAAAGAAAATCGAGTCTAAAATTATGGTAGAATTTGCATTACTTATTGACAAAAAAGAAGTATCTGCAAATTTATCTAAATCAGGGGTGTTTCGACAAAAACACTCCTCATGCTGACCAAATTTCCCTATAAAATCACAAACCACTCCTTTTACTATTTCCCCTCTCTCATCCTTCCAAAGCTCCGATCCCTAAAATCTCATCATCCTCAAAAATCCCAAAGTCGGGTTTCCAGATCCCAAATCAATTCTCAACCATGTCGAGCTTCGCCGGAGACGAGACCGCGCCCTTCTTCGGATTCCTGGGCGCCGCCGCGGCCCTCGTCTTTTCCTGTAAGCAAAACCTAGGGTTTCATCAGATCTGATCCGAATCTAGGGTTTCTGATCCATTTTCTTTCTGATCCAGGCATGGGAGCGGCGTACGGAACGGCGAAGAGCGGCGTCGGAGTGGCCTCGATGGGAGTGATGAGGCCGGAGCTGGTGATGAAGTCGATCGTGCCCGTCGTCATGGCTGGAGTTCTCGGAATCTACGGTTTGATTATCGCCGTCATCATCAGTACGGGGATTAACCCTAAGGCAAAGTCTTACTATCTTTTTGATGGGTATGCTCACCTTTCGTCGGGTTTGGCTTGCGGTCTCGCGGGGTTGTCGGCTGGAATGGCGATCGGGATCGTCGGAGATGCTGGAGTCAGGTAAAGAGAGAATCTATTGCTCTGTAAAGTTAGATCTGTTGAATTGTTTGGTATTTGTTTTTGTTTAATTTCTGATGGTTAGATCTATTATTATCTGAAGTAAGTTAATAAACCTTGAAACTTATAAGCTAGGCTAGCTTTGGGTGCTTTTGACTTTTTATGATAAAAGTTTTTTTTTTGTAAGGGTAGAAAAGTTAGTTTTTGGTCAAACCTAGCTTTATGGGGTTTAAAGCTAGTTTCTTTGAGATGCCGCCGAACATGTAAATTTGAATAAGTTAGCTTAAAAGTTAGTTTCACCAAAAAAAAAAGCTCCCATAACACCTCTTAGCATGTTAATATGTGTATTGGTTCTAATGATGTATAGGCTGTTAGTTTTGTTAGTGTTTGTCCTTCAGATTATTTGTTAGATGGTGTTTGTCCTTTTGAGTACTTGTTAGATGTGGAAAGATCAATGGTGTAATCTAACCTAATCTACTGATGTATTGGATTACTTGTATTTAGATGGGTTTCCTACGTGTAACTTTGAGGCCTTATATTACTTGTCTTTCTGTCCTTTTTGTTTTTTGTTTTTTTGTTGTTGTTTTTTTTGGGAGGGGGGTGGGGTGGGGGATGAAAGCTTTTCTATTTCTTATGAGTGGAAATTCAATTTGTTTTTGTTGGCGTCTGTGAATCTGTAAAGTAAGATTGGAAAGATAAATGGTGAAATCTAATATTATAAAATCAGTTCAGCAGATAGGCTTCCTAGGACTAACTTTGTTCTTGTATTACTCAAGTTAAACAATTTCCTTTCTATGTAAGTCTCTCTGTCTGTTTAGTGGAAAACGCGGTTTCTAGTTGTTGAAGACTTGACTCTTCTAATTCCTCTGAACCTATTGGAAGTTATTATTATTATTTTTTGATATTTAACCGTTTTGGCAGAAATATGACTTGTTCGCACAAATTGCACTTAAAACATGTACGAATAGAGTTAAACCGATATGTGAAGTCTGAAGCATGTCAAGTTAGCTTGTTTAGACTGTGCAGCCTAGCATGATGAGTGAAAGTTATGATTATTCAAGTTGAATGTTCGTACGTGTTCTCAGTTCTCTATACGTCAACCCATACCTTGTACTGTATAGTCATTGAGGAATTCTCTCTTTCCTTGTTTGCATTAGATCGTTAAGGCTTCGAATTCTTAAAGAGACATTGTCAAACTTCTATGCAAGTGCCAAGAGTACTGGAAATGAATCATTGAAGATATATTGTCTTGGGAAGCCAAATGTACATAGTTTGATTAGGAAATTGATCTATTTAGAATTTTATGTCATTATCTTAGATTTCTACTTGAGGAGTATCAGCTATAGTGCCATACTAATAGTTTAATCAGTGAGCTGCTTTGATGGTGTGTAGAGCTCAATCCACTTATATAAAATGTGTATTAAGATTGTTTGGTTCTCATGTCTATCAGACAGCCAAGCTAATATCTGAAGCTGGAGTGTATAAGGATTAGCTGAGTTTCTACAAAGGCTAATGTTTTTCATTCTTCTCTCATGTTTGTTCTTGCCTTCTTGCAGTATTTCATTTAAACTTGCTATCTGAGGTCTACTTCTGGTTTTTTCATATTCATCTCTGACACATAGATGATCTAGTCCTTAATGATCGGAAAGATGAATTTTGTTTCTTAATTCAGGTTCTGGGGAATGTTATTATAGTATAGCATCTCTTGCTTTCTATTTTATTTTTACAAGACGTGGATATAAATTTATCAGTGAACACCTTGTTTTGTTGTTCATGTATTGTTGTTCAGAGGTTTTATAAATCATATATTGGCCTTTGATGGTTAATTGGGTAGCCTAGGTGAGTATTTTTCTCATTTTGAATATGGTGTCAATAACTCGAAACAGCCATCATTGTGTTGCATTAGACAGGAATAATATTAGGCGGCTTTGTTTAGTACCAGTTATTAGGAAATTTTTTTCACTGGCTTCAATTAGAATGAATAAAACTAAGGGAATCTTGTTTAAGTCCACTATTCTGAAGAGAAACAGGTTTAAATGTTCACGCTTTGTAACTTGGTAGGTAGGCTAGGCATCAAACTTTTTCTGCTAGAATGTTGAAAATGTCTTACTTTTCCTGATAACACTAGATCGACCGATTTCTAAGAAATCATATTTGTAGATTATTGATTCGTTCCAAGTTTTTCATTAACCAATTAGATGGTTTCTTTGTCAAGACTCAATTCTCCCTCAAGGTTGGATTTTGGCTTGTGTATTCAGACAAAAACACAAAACTTGAGCAGTGGAGAAAGTAAATTATGTGTTTATATGTGTGCAAGTGCATTTGTACACATGCACTTGTTCCGGGGATTTTTTTTAATACTTTTATGTTCCCTCCTTTTGTCTTCCCTTTTTTTTCTGTGTGGGTATGGGATCTTTTTCCTCCTCCCTTCATCTGCCTTGTTTTGTCTGATACTCAACAAAGATGTATAGGCTGGTATGTGCAAAACCATGTACTCTTAGCGCATACGTCATCTTTAAGTGTACTTATGAATGTAATTTGAGCAGGACAAAAGAGATGGGATCATGGGAGGCAAATGAAAGGTCCATTTTGCCTATATTCAATTGAATCTTAGGTAGTTGCTGTGAGAAAAATGGTCGACTTTTGTAGTATATGTTAGATATCATGGAACATCCTGGGGAACTTCTCTGTTGATTTTTGGGTTAGAAGAATTAGGCAAATGGTATAACGTGTTTCCATGTGTATTGTTAATTTGTCCTTCTAATGGTTGTTCTGCTCTTCATATGTGCTTGTATACAAACCTGTGACTATGAATTGATATATTTGGTTTGTTACTAATTGGATATTTTCATGATTTGCATAATGGGATGACGTGTGGAACTGTCTCGAGTCCTAAAACTACAGATTGGTGATTGGAAACTTTAGTCTAGTTGAGTCGTTAGAAAAAGAAAAATCCAATTTCAGATTGATGTGTTTATTTCCGCCACCAACTTCTAATCTATTTCACACTACACTTTCCTATTCATTTTGCTTATTCTGAATGTGGACGTGCCAACAACTACAAAGAACAAATACTTAGATGATTGAGATTACAAAAGTTAACTTGTTCAGATATTCTGCTGCAGGGCGAATGCACAGCAGCCAAAGTTGTTTGTCGGGATGATCCTCATTCTCATTTTCGCAGAAGCTCTTGCCCTCTACGGTCTTATCGTCGGCATCATCCTCTCTTCTCGAGCTGGCCAATCTCGAGCAGACTAAGTGAAGTCAGCCGGGCTCTATTTCCAACGATCACGAGCCTTCCTGTTTCTACAGTACTCTGTTTATTTCACTATGATATTGTTTTGAGGGATTGTTATAGATGGGAGTCCCTTCTGATAAAAACCCCCAAATCTTTGCATAACGATGTTATGACAGTTTTACATAAAACTCTCTGTAATGTGAGACACGCCTGCAGCTAGTGCTGGTTCCCATTCTATTTGTGATTCTTAATAATGATAGGTTAAATATGGTGTTTATCTGGATCTATGTTTTTTTTCCCCGTCCGACTGCTCTGATAAAATTTATGCCTTCCATATTTGTACCTTCAATCGAATCCAAGACTGTGAGCCATATTAGAATCTCTCAGCCGTCTGGATCACTCGCTCACGGTGTTTTGTAGAGTTATTCTTTATTCTGGGGAAAAAAAAATCAGATAGCTGCATTTTAGTATTTTGATGTAGAGCTCACTTCTTTTATCTTTTACGTAGCAAGATGAGATTCTTAGTTAAAATCTCCTAAGAAATATTCTTCTTAACTACTGTCACCGGTTGAGCTAAAATTTACTAGTACTAGTTAGTTGACTCAGCTATCGACGATCAAGGTAAGTGGAAGGACAATTGTGGGCAAGAATGGAAATGTATTTTCTAAGAAAACTAAATCCAAACAATAATAAGATAATTAAAATTTAGGCTTCTAACAGAAATTGAACCGCAATTGAAATCCAAGACAAATTTTGTACAAATCATTCCAGAAAATGATGGGTATGGGTTCAAAGGCAGACACAGGTTGTAAAATATGGCTAGACTTTCTAATTTGTTTTTTCCATATTGTCCATGTAATTACATAATCTTATGCATGATCGTCGAATCAATTATACACGTCATTCTTGTGGTCATGCTTTTTAAGAAAAAGAAAAAAGGAAATTCAAGTTTTCTAAAGAGGAAAAATTCCAATGAACCAATTAAATTTTTTTTTTGAAAAGAATTAAATTTTAAAGTCACTTCAATAGATGTCCTGTCATAGAACTTATTCTTTTTAATGCATATTAGTCCTTAGATATTCAATAACTGCGTATTAGTCCTCAAAATCTTGAAAATGACATATTAGTTCTTCAAATCTTATAATGGTCCCTCTGTTACCATTTTAGTTGAAAAACTTAACCATGGCTGGGTTAACTCCTAAGTTGATATCTGCGATTACCAAACTATCATTCTCTCTCTCTCTCTCATGCTTCAAACCTTTGTGAAATTAAACTTTGGGTTAAAGCTCTTTTCTAACAATTAGAGAAGAAGAACTTAAGTGGGTTCATATTTTTAAAGCGCATACTGAGTATAAGAAATGAGTTGGGATCCTTGGTGAACACAATAGGTGGGGTGGGGGGGTGGGGGGGGGAGGGGACTGCCTCTAATTGTTAGATATAATAAAATATTCCTTTCAAATCTAACATGATTTAACTTGAAGTGTCATTTTGCAAGATTCTATAGGATTTGAGGGACTAATATGCAAATTTCAAAATTAAAGGGACTATTATCTAAAAAAACTCTGTAATCTATCTAAAGACAATTACGAGGGCTTTCCAACATAAGATTGAGTTTGAACTCTTTCACCGTGTAACTTTCACCGAGAGTTGCTGGATGATAAAATATTTTTTTTTTTCAAAAAATATTTTATGTCTTAAACTAAAATATCAGAATTGTAACTGCTCCAAATCTCAACAGCATTTGAGGATCAAGACAAGTACAAAGATAATTGTGTGATTTTTTTTCCAACAATTAAATCCAAACAATGAGATAACTAAAATTAGACTTCCAACAGAATAGAACAACAATCGAAAACCCAAGACAAAATATTGTACAAATTATTTCAGAAAACCATGGGCGTGGGTTCAAAAGCAGACACAAGTTGTAAATGGTTTTTTTCACATTGTCCATCTAATTACATGACCTTATGCACATGTTTTTTTTTTTTAATAAAAAAGGAAATTCTAACTTTTTAATAGAAAAAAGTGAAGAGGGAGGCAACATACTTTAAAATTTCTTCTTGTAAATTATAAGACAAACCTTCATATGTTAGTATTCTAAAATGAATATCAAAAGCTAGTTTTCCGATAAACTCGTTGAAAATTTTGGACTTATAAATTTTTTTTTCTTTTCCAAAATTCGCTTTATAACTAAAATAATATTTTGACAACAAATTCATCTTTTTACCAGTTATAAAATTTAAAGACACTTTAATGTAATATCACAAAAAAACTAATTTTTCTTTTACGTTTAATAAATTATGACATTAAAATCCAGTCAAAACACTACAAAAGAAAAACCCTGCACAAAAAAAAACAGTCTTCATTCAGTTCCCCCCAACAAAAACTGCCGATTTTAACTCCAACTGCATTCATACTCTCCGAAGTCCAATCTCACCGCAGTGGCACAATCCGTAAATTACTCCAACTCTAGTGTCAGATCCTTACCCCTGCAACTCCCCGCAGCTTATATAACAAACTCTTCCCCTTCCTCTTTCAAAAATCAAAACCCTAGAAATCCGAAAAAATACCCAAACCCTAGCCCTAATGTCGTCTCCGTCGCCTCCGTCCCTCGATCCCAGCATCTGGAAGGCCTGCGCCGGGGCCGGCGCCGGAAAGATCCACACCGCC